ACACAATTATACATATATTGTCTTCAATACATACATATATATATATATATATATATATATATATATATATATATATATATAATGTAAAAGGTTCAAAAATAATATTTCAATTTGTAGGGCTGATGAATTGGATCGTGATTACGATTGCAATGTAATAAAATATAACCATGGAATATTAGTGTTTGAGCCTTTTATATTATATTCTTACTCTGTCCTGGACGTTGAGTTCTACCTGGATACTATCGTCTTAGAAATTTATATATATATATATATATATATATATATATATATATATATATATATATATATAGACCACTAATATTATCATTATATATATATATATATATATATATATAGACCACTAATATTATCATTATATATATATATATATATATATATATATATATAATGATTTACGTTTTAGTCTTTCTACTCGCTTATTTTTTTTCTTTGGAGGAGAGATTTAAGGCACTGAACGATTTGCTTTGCCCTGTTCAAATGTTTTTAGTTCTTTCTTCCCCCCTCCAATTTTTCTCAGGCACTGAATTGTTTTGACATATCTACAAGTTATGCCATCCGAGTTTTTTTTTCCCAACCAGTATTACTATTAATATATATATATATATATATATATATATATATATATATATATATATATATATATATAATTATTTATTCCAAAATTATAACATAAATATGTTTATAAAATCCCAACAAACATTTTGTTTCAACACTGGTATCTTATCAAGTGATGATTTTGAATGTAGAATAAAGAGTTTTAAAAAGTTCAAATCAATCAAACACCCCTCGCTAAGGGAAACGCTGTTACATAAGCTGGAATGACCAATCAAAATACAAGTAGATGAGAATTCAAAAAACTTGACAACGAGCTTACGTTATAATAATTATTTCATGCTTTAATGTTAAGGTTAGACTAAAATATAATTTCCGAATAAATAATTATATATATATTATATATATCAATACTCTGTATTGAGCACTCTTAAGAATAGTATTTTTTGGTTATTGAATTTATTCCGTGTACACCAATCCTATATTTGGGTATATATATATATATATATATATATATATATATATATATGAATTCTGAAATATATATTTACATATCTAAAGATAGTTGAGAGAGAGAGAGAGAGAGGCGAGGGAATAGAATGATCTTGATAACGAGAGGGATACAGACGTCATATTTCATGGTCTCCGATATTTACGACTTTAAGAAAATCGGAAAATCTTTGTGAATATATCCAGAAATACTGTAATGTCCGAAATTGTCGCTAACGATAATAATAGCGATGTCCACAAGCGGTAAGTTACAGTTAAGTCGTTATACACTGCATTTAGGACATTAGTCAAGTTTGACGCCTCGACACCGTCGATGACGCTAATGACCGCTGCATTCCGATACCTTTTAAGAGGAAGACGAAAAGGAGACAAGGCGAACATTTAATGCAAGTATAGAAAGCATTTTCGTCAACTTTGTATCATTTTCCTGACCATCATCGATTGAAAAGATCGCATCCTCGATGACATAGGCAGACGAAATGTTATCTTTGACGGCTGTAGACATGATGGCGAGAAGATAATTATAGTGGGTTTAAAAGTGATCGCTACTTTTAATAGTGACAGCCAGAACTCGTATTGGCATGTGTTGTGGATACACAGATGAAGAAGACAAAAACGGAAACCATGAATTATTTGCACTATTTATACGGGGGAGTAATGAATAGGGGCTCGGTTTAAGAAATCGGAGAGCCGAGTTCGAATTCCAGTCGAGTCCATTGGAAACCACATATTTATTGTTTTATTATAGACGGAGCCCAAACCCAAGATTATAGAGCCCAGTCAGTCCTGCTAGTTACCCATAGAAAAGAGTTCATGCGTTTCCTAAGGGTATTAGCACGGAAGTGAATGTAATGGATCCGACTGGAATTCGAACTCGGCTCTCAATCAGAGCCGCTATCCATTGCATACTTATTGCTTTGTGCCAAAACTATTTTAAGTTTAGTAAAATAAAAACGCGCTTTGCTGTGAAGTAATGGTTAACGAGTTATTCTGATTGATTCTTCCGAATGTGTCAAGTTTTCAATCCTCCTTAGCTGTGAACTTGTGTCAAAATTATACTATGGTGATTACATAACAACGGTTAATATATAAGAGTGGAGAAGGAGGGGGAGAATAATAATTAACAGAACTGACAGTAAGAGAGGAAAAACTGAGAAAATTTAGTGATACAGAGAGAGGGGTGAGATTTTTAAAAGGGGGGAGTTAAAAGAATCCACGTGGAAGATTTTGAAAAGTTTTCGCTTCTTTTTTTTTTCCCCAATTCTTTTTTCCTAATTTTATGAAGGAAAAAAAGATTTCTAAACTTTTTCAATATCGTTAAAATAATTATTTTAATGACCACAATAACTGACTTGATTTAATTACGATACACACAGCTAGTGGGGGGCGCAAATAAGTTCCCTTTTATGCAAGGCACGTTACACACACACGCCTGTGAGCTTCAGTATCAGTATTAGCAACAAATATGGCGAAAAATTAGCGAAGGAAAAAAAAAAACCTGCACAAGTCGACGTTTTAATGATCTTCGGCGCACAACTGAATCTGCACGAGTGTCTCCATGTTAACTTGAGGAAATTGATTTTTTTCACTTTATTAATCAATTAGGTACGTGAAACGTTCATTAAATGTAATAAAGTGACTGCAAATTAAAACTGAAATGAATTTTTTAATTGATTTAACCATTGAATTAAAGGAGAGTTTTCTTGAAACATTACTTTGCAAAATCTTTAAGAGACATTTATTCTTATCACTCCGCCCGCATGTGACCTAACCACGACAAAACAATACGCAAAGTTATTTAACAATGGAAATGAATTAGATCCTTTCATTTTCTACGGTATGTATAGCTAGCCACTCGTATTCAACACGACTGATCTATTCAAGGATACTCGTCTACTAGGGCGGCTAGCCAATCCCTGTTGCAGACGCTTGCTCAGTCACATTTTCTGTTTGTTCAACACCCATAGAGCCCATCTAGTTTATACTACAACTATGCTGAGCAGACCTTTGTCATAGTTTCTGGGAAATAGCGTGTTATCTCGTGTGATCAACAGTTTGAACAAGGCCAGCACACTCAAACCCTCGGCCACGATGACTTGTGACTTCGAGGTAGCACAGCAATCGACGACCCCCGCGGGTATCATCTACCCAATTTCACTCACAAGGTCTCCGTGAATATAGTTTTCAGGCAATTTCCAAACGTACCGCACGCTGGGGTCGTTCCCCTCCCGACAGATAACGTCAGGAAGTCTCCTTCCTGACAAATCGACCATGGTGAGATTCGAACCCGGGTCGCTTGGACAGAATGTGAACGTTCTAACCACTCAGCCCATTCTTTTCTACGGTAATATTTACGAAAATGATCGTTCCGTGGAGTTCTGGCTAATCTTTACAGGTTTGTTGGGTTCAAATTTTGTAACATTTAACACCAGAATATCTTCCCATAATGAGTTTCAAAATACTATATTTTATGGAATAAAAAGGCACAATCATTTTCCAGAATCAGTTCCAAAATACCTCTCGAGTTTTATTTACGAAACTGAGTTATCTGCGCACAAAATGTAAGCTAATATCATTACACGCAACTTAATTCCATAAGGCTAAAATATTAATAGAGGAATATTCACATTCTAGGCTTCCTGTACGACCATGGATTTTCCTGTTGAGGCAGGAAGCCTCAACAATTGAGATTAGAACAGAACCGTTTGACTCGCCCCACAGAGGAATTGATAATAGTGATGAAGGCTTGCGTCGAAACAGCCGCAGTTTTTGTTAGAAGTAATAAGAGAATAATGGTAGATAGTATGTTACGAAATCGCCAAACACCCCTCCTCAGGTCTGAATTCAGAATTGACCTTCCGTTAGGCTGGCTGCTGATCTTATCTGTTTATACATTATCAAAGGAGTGAGTTCAATCATGCTCAGTCGTATATATATATATATATATATATATATATATATATATATATATATATATATATATATATGTGTGTGTGTGTGTGTGTGTGTGTGTGTGTGTTGAAACTGAGGTCAACAACGAGCGGTTGCTCATCTATTTATATATGCTAACCAATGGCGCATTATGAATAGCAAGGTCTATTATGTTATCCTAACGTTTATTGGGCAAACAGCAACGGTTACATTTCAAATACTTTATCGATTATAAAGTGAGTATATTTGCAATTCTTCTAGGTGATATTTTACAAAGTATTCGTTTTTAGTTTCCGATTTTTAAGTAACGTAGTAAACAATTGTTTCTGTGTCTGCACTTGGAAATAAGTTCTGATCATTTATTTAGTAACTTTTGCTGATCTGGGAAAGTGATTATAACTATCTTCTCCTAAAGGTTTTGGATATATTGTAGTAGGCTGATTCTGTTTTCTTTATTTTCAATGATATATTTTCTGTCTTCTGTTTTTTTTTAATTTCCTACGATTTATACGTTTTCCACAAGCGCCAGTGTGACAGTGAACGTAATAAAGTAGGTCAGAATATGAACTCGCTTCGATATTTCGTTGTACGTTTATAGCCGCCATTATGTCGGTTACAAATTGAACAAAAAAGGTTGATTTTGTAAAATGTCGATCAAATGAAAGTAGGCCAAAATCAACACCAGGTCAAGAGTTTAAGTCAATCAGTGTTCAGTGACAAAAGAAAAGAAAAAAAGAACGTTTTGTAGATGAACGCTAAAAAGTAAAGAATATTTCAAAGTTGAACGAAAGTAAAAGAAACATCGATAAACATGAAGAGAACAGCGGGAAAACGGTTTGCTAAAAATACAAACAAGGCAAAATGAATTGCGTCTTCTGCTTCTTGATGATAGGCGATTGTATATGAAGATGGGAGACTTTTGTTTGTTGTCGTTGTTTGAGGCAGACCTCACAGTAAGGAAGGGAATCTGTTATCTTTGAGACAGGATGTCTTGGACGATATTTGATAAGTGAGGCGAAACCATTTACTGTTTTGGGACAAGAATTTCATTTCCGTAAAGCATACTTCCGTCTCATCAATTTCAGTCGGGGACTATCTATTTCCTTTTGCTCACATCTATCTATCTATCTCATTCTGCTAAAATCAATCTATCTACCTAGCTAGCTACCTAGCTATGTATCACAGTCTGTCATCTATCTATATATCCATCTATCTCAGTCGGCACACATCTATGTATCTCATTTTGTTCACATCTATCTATCTACTTCATTCTGTTCAGATCTATTTATCTACCTATCTACCTCGTTCTGTTTCGATCTATCTATCTATCTATCTATCTATCTATCTATCTATCTATCTATCTATCTATCTATCTATCTCATTCTTCTCAAATCTATCTCAATCTGTCATCTATTTATATATCTATCTATATATCTCAATTTGCTCACATCTTTGTATCTCATTTTGTTCACATCTATCTATCTATCTATCTATCTATCTCAGTCTGTTCATATCTATCTATCTACCTCTTTCTGTTCAGATCTCTATCTATCTATCTATCTATCTATCTATCTATCTATCTATCTATCTATCTATCTATCTATCTCATTCTGCTCACATCCAGGTATCTCATTTTGTTCACATCGATCTATCTATCTATCTATCTATCTATCTATCTATATATATATATATATATATATATATATATATATATATATATATATATATCGCATTCTGCTCAAATCTATCTATCTCGTTCTGCTCACATCTATTTATCTCATTCTGTTCCCATCTATCTAACTACCTCATTCTGTTCACATCTATCTATCTATCTATCTATCTATCTATCTATCTATCTATCTATCACGCTAGATGTAACCTCAAGTTTTATGCTAAGAGTTTCTTCTGTCGCACTTCTTGTTTGTGGAACACTCTTCTTTCTCCCTTGTCAACCTTGTCAACTTTGATCTTCAAAAAATTGCAATGTCAATCATTATTTCCTGTCTTCTTAATTCTGGTTCTTTTATTGTGTTCTCTGCTTATGAGCTGTTTATCTCATATTCTCTTACTCAGTAACTTCTTGCGTCTCAGTGGCTTTATTACATTCTTGTGGTGATTTCTTTTAAAAAATGGAAAGAATGATATTTCGTATCTTTTCATTTGTACCCCCTTAATTCACTATATAATTACCTGCGTTCATAATTATCATCTAATTGTGCTATGGGGGGATATTTGTAGTCGAGAAACACCCAAGGACCACATTCAAACATTAACTCATTAAACTTATGATTTATCAGATATTTCAAACAGGAAGACCATCAATTTTTCACGAATACTGACATCATCATTATTATTATGATTATTATTATTATCCTATTTTATTTCCTTTAATTTCTGGTGTGTACTCATTTATTTCCGGGTCCCAGTCAGCGACCTAAGGTCAGAAATGGCATTATGATATTTTCCACTGAGCAATTAATAACCTATTTTACATAGATAATGCCCTTTGTAAGGCAAGGACTGTACGGGTGATAACATTTTTTTTTATTTCTTTAAGTCGCGGGCTACTAGAAACCCCTTTAATGAGTCTATTAGCATATTTCCAATGAATCCGAGGGCTCCAACTATAAGAGAGATTGTTGATGTTCTCATGTGCCACATGTTTGAGATTTCGATATCCCTGTATTTTTTGAAGATCTTCAAAAATACATTGCAGTCTGCAGGCATAGCCGTATCAATAAAGAGGCATTTTTGTGTGGTCTCTAATAACGATGTCTGGGCGATTAGCTTTAATTGTTCTCTATATGTGTCTTGTGTAGTCACATAAAATTGTTACAGGTCTTATCTCCGTAAACAGGGCTGGGTGGTTTTCATACCAATTTCTTTCAGTTTCCTTTGCGTAGAATTTGCAGATTTTCCTGTGCAGATATTGGCCCACTTTGTCATGCCGGGTTTTATATTCAGTGGTTGCCAGTACCGTGTAACCTGACAGAAGATGGTAAATTGTTTCTGAGTATTTATCACAGAATTATTATTATTAAAGATCTTCAAAAAATACAAGGACCTGGAATCGAAATCATGTGGCACATGAGAACATCAACAATCCCTCTTATATTTGGAGCCCTTGGATTTGTTGGAAAAGATTCTAATAGACTCATATACAAATACATTTAAATATATAACAAATTTATATATATATATATATATATATATATATATATATATATATATATATATATTACTTAAATGGAAAGTGCTCAGTATCAGTGATAGAGCTCACATATTCAATTTTATGGGTATGTACCCATACATCTGAATATATATATATATATATATATATATATATATATATATATATATATATATTTAAAATGAGAACAAATGAGGTATAATTATAGTATACCTAGCATTTAATTTAAAAGGGTACTCCATAAAGAATGGGCTTAAATATTATTTATTTTAAGATATTCAACCCAAAACATGTTAAAAATCGCTACACGATTCCAATCCTGTTTCAACACCACAAATGTGTCTCCTCGGACGATGTCAAACCAATGGCGAGCAAAATATTTATATAATTTTAAAAGCATAATACTTTTTTTAAAGAAATAGGCTCGTGGCCTTTCTGTGATTAACCAATCAAATGTGATCTACGCTAAATTCAAACCCACCTGAAAAAAATATGAGTCATGACACGAAGCTCGACAATTTCCTTATGGGCAGATACAATTTGTTACATTATTTCGTAAGATGTATCGTGTCTTAGATCCAATTTGAAAATAAGTAAAAACTAAAAGGAGTATATGCTTGTTCAGCTTCTTACATATATATTGTGTGCTAATTTCGCGTTATCAGATCAGAATGAATGACAAACCTTTGTGTTTTTGTATTAAAGCCTGTTTGTTAGGTTGGCGTAATGAATCTGACCCAATGAAAACCCACACCTTGGGATATTAACTTGCTAAATATTGCCCTGTGTCTTTACGGTATGAAGTTAAAGGGAAAAGAGAACAAAATTAAGTCGTAAGACGAACTAATATATATATATATATATATATATATATATATATATATATATATATATATATATATATATATAATAAAAAGGCTTAAGTGTTTAATCCTTTTATTATATCCTTACTCTGTCCTGGACATTTAGTTCTACCTGGATTCTATCCTCTTGGAATTATTTTTTATACAGATATATATGTATGTGTATATATATTTATACATTTTAGATATATGATTGCATATGTATATGTATGTGTATATTTACCACTAATATATATATATATATATATATATATATATATATATTATTTTTGTTTTCTTCTCTTCTTCCAAAAAACACCCTGTCTTGGCCACATGTAGGAAGATCAGTACAGCCAAGGATACCTGATCCATAACATCAAATAGTCCAAGTGAAGTCTTGATTAGTTGCCATTTTCTGGGGGAACTTATATAATGCACGTCCTAATGCTAGTAGCAAATTTTATTCTGAGTGCGGGCCGAATACTGATCTTATTCGGTCGGGTCGCCCATCGAAGAAGTCTGTTGTTTATTTAGACCCGAAACTTCTAGTGACATGGGAGCAACAACACTGAAGACGCACCTGGATTCGGCACTTAAAGGTGTATTTTTTATAATAATAATGAAGTTTTGTCGATTGCCGGAACTACTTTTAAAAATAGAAATTACTTCCCACTTCTTGCTAGGCAAGCAAGTGAATTAAGCATATTTTAAAGATAAGGTCTGAAACTTCATATAAATATGTATATCGAAAAACGTCTTTTTTTCTCTGAATGATGGCGTAGAAACGAAGTTATTGCCTGCATATTGTAAACCGTTGAATTTATGATCAAGTTTTATTGCACCTAAAAAAAATGTCTCTCAAGCCCGCAGACAGCCATCTTCATTATTTCTTATTTATTGTCTTTAAAAATCTTTACAGCAGAGAACAAATCGTTTTTCCTGATAGACGGTCAACTCATACTGTATGTGGCTTCAGGACAAATGTTATAGATTTCCACTAAAGAGTGAATGAACTTTGCAAACAGCTCTTGGCTGGGAGACCAGAGTCAAAGAAAGTATTTTGAATAGTACTCTACTGGTCAGTGTTGGATACGGACCGACAAATTGCTGTCAGAGGTCAACGTTTTGCATTATAGATGATGCTTAAAGCTATCAGATATTTTATGTGTTTTCTTTGCCATAGATGTAAAACAGAAATACCCTCAACATTAAATTTGATTTAAAAAAAAAAAACAGTGAACTTGTGAACTTGTAGAACTCGATATGCAAATATATTTTTCAAGACGGTTTAAAATATTGATTGAGAAATATCGATTTTAACACTGGTTTTATCTACATTATCTACATACAACATTATTTATTATAACTCCAAACGTTATATTTTTACTGTTTCCACTAAATCATAAGGTTTAAAAATAAGAAATCTATTACAGTAAAATCCCTCATTTCCGGAATGTCTCATATCTGGAATCCCACATATCCGGACATAATTTTGATGTGTATATTTGAACTATTTGGGTGATATGTAACTGATTTGAAATTTCTGTTTTTCAGGAAATTTACTTTGGATAATTGCTTATGCTTATTTCACCCTAATGGCTTGTATTGGTGTAAAAGATGATGGGAATAAGAGAAAAGGATGACAACGAGACACATCTGCAACAAGATAGCGACGAGATGCATGGCTGAGATGAAATTGGACTGGAATTGAAAAAGCTATTGAAAAGATTGTCAATTTTATGGAAAGAAAGCCAGCATTCAGCTATGACGATTGCAATAACGCATGTAGAGTTAAAAAGTGTCTTCCGTTTAAAAAAATTCAAGAAAAGCAAAACGAAATGCGGAAAAAGTTGAGAATGACATTAGAAGAGAAAGAATCATCATGCAACAGCGATTAAAAAAATCCTCGTTACATTATTTGTTTTGCATACGTGGCATACTTAATTTAATGAATTTTCATTAATATTACATAATTTATTTCTTTTTCCTTAAAATCAATTCCGTTATATTTCACTCACAATTAGCTTATTTTGTTTACTATAAAACATTGAAAATAAATGTTAAACCTGATTTCAGTTCTTTTATTTTAATCTAAATATAACCTCTCATACCTGGACTTTGTAACCAATTCCTCATACCCGGAAGGCCTTCTTAGTCCGGTTGTCATGGATTCTACTGTAATTCCTTAGAAATAAGATTGTTGTCATTTCGGTTAGAAAAATAAAATTAGAAATTATAGATTTACGAGCGGATATGAGCTTTCATGATCTGAACACGGACATTTATACATCTCGCAATATAGCAAAGATGTTCGTATGAATGACCTTTGTGACTAGGATGACGTATCTTTTAATTGTCACCATATAAAAGCAAGACATTCACAGCATCGTCTCTCACTTATCGCAATTTAATTTTAAATAAAACGCTTTCCTATCATATCCATTTCTTGTAAAAATTATAGTTAATAAATAAATTATAAGTATTTTAAAATGGAGAGTTACTATATATATATATGTGTGTGTGTGTGTGTGTGTGTGTGTGATTTGGGAAGAAAATAGCCAGAAGGATTTGGAAAGAACCAGCCTCATTTTTTTGAAGAACTGAATACAGAGACCTTCCCCAAACAACCCTCCGCTGATTTAAAATATGTTTTTTTTTCAAAATGGTTTCAAAATGAACTGATTAATATTAATGCTCTGTAAATTTACATTGAGCATTATTTTGTAAAAATAAAAATCAGTAAGAACACCGGATTTTATATCTTACTGTTCTTACTTCTTGTTCTTTTATATCTTACTGTTCTTTCTTTTTTATTATAATATATATATATATATATATATATATATATATATATATATATATATATTTGTATGGATATTAGTTTGTGATCCTGTGTTTTCACGCTTTTGTGATGATCAGACAAGCTTTTTTTTGTCTGATGATCACAAAAGCGTGAAACCCAGGATCACAAACTTATATCCATATAACTGAATATTTTAGCCCTATCACTGATATTGAGCACTTTCAACTAAATACTGAGCATATGTATATATATATATATATATATATATATATATATATATATATATATATATATATATATATATATCAAATGAACATTGAAATCAACACTCAGAGGCGACTTACTGTTTCATGCTAGACGCTATCGTCAGACATGAAATAGTTTCTGGCCTATGAGTGTTGACTTCAATGTTCACTTTTATATTTACATACGCTCTATCTCTGATATTGAGCACTTTATCCCATATGTATAGCACAAAACTTAAAACTATACATATATATATAAAGAAAAAAAATATATATATATATATATATATATATATATATATATATATTATATATTTAAAATGTTACGACTTGAGCCATCCTATCATAGGATTTAACTTTTTTTAAGTTTTTCTCGATCTAGCCGTCGAGCATTTTACTCAGTCGATGTACAACATTTATCCATCTATTTCCGCTCATGTATGGCGTCTGTTGCTTGTCATTTATTTCAAACCTACGAATCCTGACCGATTTATGGTAAATTATTTCTTAATTTTTTGCTTCTTCCCTTTGTTTAAATTTAGCGTAATGTCTTATTTGATTGGTTGATTTAAGCAAAGCCCACAAATCTTATAACCACTTTTTTTTGTCAAAAAATCGGCTGTATTTTGCTTTTAAATCTGATTAAATTGTTCACTCGCTAGTAATTTACAATCTGCTCATGTGGACAGTATATAACGACTGACATTGAATTTAAATTTTTTAAGATTAAATGTGTCTGGAATGGATAGAGCCGGAAGGGCGTTGCACAAGCGAGTGGTACGGGAAAAGAAACTGTTAGCATAGAACTTACGGCTACATCTAGCTAACTCTGCTGTAAATAGATGAGATCACGACGACAGTCTAGTACTGAGCTTAAATTCTAAATGTCTAGGTGCCATAACGAAGACCCCATCCAAACAATTACCATGAAAACATTTATAGAAAAGACAGGGAGAGGCAACCTTACAGCGATGTGAAAATGACATTATATATATCAGGTGGCCTGACGACTGCGTCTAGCATGAAACAGACTGTTGACTTCAATGTTCACTTTTATATTTACACACACTATCTCTGAATTTGAGCACTTTATCCCAAAAATATAGCACACCTTAGGACTATATTTCTTCATATATATATATATATATATATATGTGTGTGTGTGTGTGTGTGTGTGGGTGGGTTATGTTTGATTATGCGTCTGCTTTTGTGATTCTGCGCGTGCTGTTGTGTACTGATCAAAAATCCAATAATCAATAACCATTTTGACGGACTTTTCTTCCCCGATGAACTTGGAAGAAATCGATAAATCCTGTGTGTCGCGTGACTGAAAAAAAAATATCCGCCAAATATGGCTGCTCATTTTTTATTTAATTCATTTTTTTCTTGCCACCTTTCGTTTTCAGTTCCTTAACTCCTCTTGCCACTAAAAGAACTCACTTTTATAAATAAACAATTTACGCTTGATCTCATCTCTTGAAGAATTTTCTCAAAAATATAGCCTTCTCTCTCGCTCTATCAATCGCATTCTCTCTCGTTTTCTTTCAGACACACGGCCTACATATATATATATATATATATATATATATATATATATATATATATATATATATATATATATATATATAAGGCACAAACACTAATATTCCATGGCTATAATTTATTACATTGGAATCGTAATCACTATACAATTCATCAGACCGACAAATTCAAGAGTTTTATTTTTGAATTTGTGGGTCTGATGAATTGGATCGTTACTACGATTCCAATGTAATGAATTATAACCATGGAATATTAGTGTTTGAACCTTTTATATAATATTCTTGCTCTGCCTTGTACACTGACCTCTACCTGGATTGTATCCTCTTGGAAATATATATATTGACTATCAACATTATCAAACTCTCCCTCTCTCTCCCTCCCTCGCTCTATCTCTCTCTCTCTCCCCCGCTCTATCTCTCTCTCTCTCTCTATATATATATATATATATATATATTGACCACTAATATTATCAAACTCTCTCTCTCTCTCTCTCTATATATATATATATATATATATATATATTGACCCCTAATATCAATCTCTCTCTCCCTGTCTCTATCTCTCTCTCTCTCTATATATATATATATATATATATATATATATATATATTGACCCCTAATAATATCAATCTCTCTCCCCCTGTCTCTATCTCTCTCTTTCTCTCTCTCTCTATATATATAGATATATATATATATATACATATATATATTGACCACTAATATTATCAAACTCTCTCTCTCTCTCTCTATATATATATATATATATATATATATATATATATATATATATATTATAATTAATTGAATTGTGCCTTGTTGGCTCCTGGCCCCATATCCGACCCCCAACTTCTGCGTGAAACAACGCACCACGGAACATATTCACAGAGCTGCAATTGAACTCAATTAAGACCCATTTAAACACATACGGAAACCAAGCAAGATCCGTCCGCAACAAACTTGTGGATAATACAATCATAATAGTCACATCCACATGCAAAAGACGACGAAAAATAATGAAAGTATCAATAATAAAAAAGGAAAAAGCCAACACACAATAATGTCAACTATGTATTTGACTGTTTGTAAAATTGAAATAAAAATCATTTCCATCATTTTAGATTCACGTATATACAAATCTACATATTCTGTTAAAAACTTTTAAAAAAACCTTGATAATGGTTAATAGATTAGCCGAGAGCGTTTGGATAAAAAAAATAAAACATTTCGCCAATTTTGACGCATTTTATTTCCATAAAAGAAGGCACTTGAAAAAAAAAAAAAATGAATAACAGCTTTAATCGCAATACCTTGCCAGTCGGTCCTTAATAACACACACACACACACAGATATATATATATATATATATATATATATATATATATATATATATATATATATATATATATATAGTAGAGTATATTAGATATAGTATAATGTAGCATAGTATAGAATATAGCATAGTACAGTAGAGTAGAGTAAAATATAGCATAGTATATCAGGGTATAGTATAGTAGTGCATCGAATATCTGATTATACTATAATAGAGTATAGTATAATAGAATATAGTATAGTAGAGTATAGTAAATATTGCTGTGTATAGTATAGTAGTGTATAGTATATCAGAGGATAATATAGTATATAGTAGTGTATAGTATAGTAGGGTATAGTATAATAGTGTATAGCATATCCGAGGATAGTATACTATAGTATGGTATAGTAGTATATAGTATAGTATAGTAGAGTATATTATAGTAATATATAGTATATCAGAGGATAGTATAGTATAGTATATTATGGTATAGTAGTGTATAGTATAGTAGAGTAGAGTGTAGTAGTGCATAGTATATCAGAGGATAGTATAGTAGAGTATAGTACAGTATTGTAGCGTATAGTATAATAGAGTAGAGTATAGTATAGTAGTGTATAGTATATCAGAGGATAGTATAGAATAGTATAGTATGGTATAGAAGTGTATAGTATAGTGGACTCTCCAGTCTTTTTCGATGTATGGAAGGAAGCCTAAGTGTTGATTTTTTTAGAACTCAACCACCAAGCGACACATATGATTTGATTATAGTGGTGAAAACTTGAACCAGTCACACATTTTGAAAGGACCGCTAACAGAGATAGGAGACACGGTGTGAAGCGAAATCTCCAAATAAATTTCAAGTCGAAATTCAGGCTTTTCCTTTTCCTAGATTGGTTAGCAACCATGGCTAGACCTATAGCTGCGTGGAAAAATGAATGGATTCCTACTACACACATACACACACAGCGATATATATATAGAAAGATAAATAGATAGATGCATGCATACATAAATACACAGAACATAAATCTGTGACCGCACTGACACACACACACACACACACACACACACACACATATATATATATATATATATATATATATATATATATACATTTATATATATATATATATATATATATAGATAGATAGATAGATAGATAGATAGAGAGAGAGGGGTGGGTGGGGAGAAAGAGTGTGCTACTGGGTGTGAATATGTATGTGTAAGTGAGAAAGAGTGAGTGTGTGTGTGTGTGTGTGAAATGTATGCTCATATAAACAAACATTCTTTCCCCCCCAAATCCCTTGTCGAACCAGTCGGAAAAGCGACCATCTTTTTTTCGTTTTTTAGTCATAGCAAAAGAAAAACTAATTTTACGCTGATTTCCGCCTTTTTAATTGGACTCTCGAACAGGGACACTTAAAACCGAAAAGACCATAAAACGAAACTTTCACTTCAAAGAACAAAACTTCGCATAAAAGAGTGACACAGTTTTGATATTTTTTCACACATTCCTTCCCGATTCGCTTTGGAAGCGAGAGTTAAATGAATCGAGCCGAACGTTATCAGAAACACCAATATACCCTTTTTATTTACGGTAACTAACAATTACAACCATTAATTTACGACGTTTTCATTCAGAAACTATTTCAATGATCTTGCAGACGATCATCACTAAAAGCATTCCAAAACCGATTCGACTATTTATTCGTCTGACTTTTTTTTATCGGGTATTTCTTTTTTTTTCGGGTATTTCTTTTTTATTGGGTATTTCTTTTTTATCAAATATTTCTTTTTTTTATCAAATATTTTTATGAAATATTTCTTTTTTATCAAATATTTCTTTTTTTTATCAAATATCTCTTTTTTTATCGGGTATTTCGTTTTTGTCAGGTATTTCTTTTTTTATCGGGTATTTCGTTTTTGTCAGGTATTTCTTTTTCGGCTTTAAACTTTGTTTCATTCTTAATTCAAAAGGGAGAAAAAATTGCAAATTATTTTAAGCTTTACCGTTTCTGCTAAACATTTATCTTAATACGTATATGAGACTACCTAACATTTCACAGATTTGATTAAGCCTATCAATCTGTTAATCTGCTTTTTAATCCGAGTTTCCCTTGACTCGGCGGTCACTTTAAAATTTTCTCAAAATTACTCCATCAGCAAACTCAGTTTCTCTCTCTACCCGAAAAAGGCAACTATTTTCTGTAAATATATTCTAGTTTGGAATGTGGGTTACAAATGCAATAAGTTATTTATTAGTAATACTAGTAGTATTATGAATACTGAAAATGAAGTAGCACAATTGGTAATTATTTTTTTTATCAGTGGTTAGAAGAATATGGGATTAAGGATGAAAATAATTCTGAACTGATTCCTTCTTCTCTAAGGGAACATATATATATATATATATATATATATATATATATATATATATATATAGATAGATAGATAGATAGATATAGAAAACCTAGTGAGCCAGACACATCTACTGAAGTTTCACCTAAACAGATCGTCAGGGAAAATTGGCTAAAGAGGCAAAGGGAAACGCATATTTATAGGCGATAGCCAAAATTATACAATGTGACCAAAGAAAGAATCACAAACGCAAACACAAAACCACCTGATTGGGGGGGGGGGTTAAAGATTTATTCAAAAAGAAGGGGAGGGGATATTAAAATACGAACATTAAGGTGGAATGTCAAATAACCGGGAAAATTCGTCTAATTTAGTAACCAAGATTTTCTATGCCTACATATGATAAGAATTTCAGTTTTGGAGTTTAATACCTGGTTAGGTTGATCATATAAAGCTATGGCTAATTTCTCCTCTGTACACAATTTACAAAATTTTTGGCCTGCTTTATATTTGGGGCATTTTTTTTAATATTTCCCATTTAAGGATGGGGTCTTTATTGTTTTCTTGTTTGGTTTTCCATACGTAGGTAGATAGCGTGGTACTATGTTTACTTTTTTCGTTTTTAAAACTACTCGTGTGATTATAGTATCTTTTTTTAAATTTATCCTGAGTAGCACCTATGTATATTTCAGGGTTAGTATCCTCCCTATCCTTGTAAATTTTCACTTGATAAACCACGCTCTACGGTCTCTTTTGTTAGTTAGTTGTTTACTCGTATCGGGGTTTTTTCTTTGGACTTCAAACCTGTATTTGTGCGATTTTTTCGACAAATTTTCATGTTTGTAGCTCTTTCTTTTTTTAAAACCTTTTTTTCCCTCGAGATTAATTTGATTATTGGCAAATCAAAAATTCGAGGGTTTTTCGAAACGAGTATAGTTATCTATATTTGTATATAGAAAATTTAACAGTCAGTAGACATACTCAATGCAAGAAAGTAGTGAATAACAGGGAATAACTTCAGAGTTTGTCTATATTTCTGAGATGAGGTATTATGTACAGTATTTACATTAGTCGGACTATTGTCCTCATCTTTGTCGCCATATTTGTCACAACGTTTCGGCCGTTGTACTAAGGAGTGCCAGAGAAAAGCAATGATAACAAAGTTGCAATATGAACTCTGGTAAAGACATGCAATGATAACAGCAAAAAATTGCAATATGAGCACTGGTAAAAATGATGCTGAAAACATTAGGTTTATAATACTCAGAAGTTCATACCCAGATGTCCTCAAGGACACATGGCACAGTGGATAAAGGCGTTGGTTGGATCCAGTGACAGACCCAAAGAAGGTGAGTTCAATTCCTGATTAAGGCAGTGGTGAACTTTCATCTGATAACTGACATCTATCAAACATGGCACGTGGAATTAGAACAGTCTACCCCAGCGATCGAAATAAAGGGTTCAGTTCGAAATTCCAACCACCTGAAGAAGGCCGGAGCGTACAACGGCCGAAACGTTGTGACAAATATGGCGACAAAGATGAGGACAATATTCCGACTAATGTAAATACTGTAGGGAATAACTTACTTAAACAATTTTTTTTGTGAGTGGATTGAAGAAAAAAAATTAACTATAATGCTAAAAAACGAATGCTATGGATTTTACGGATAAAGCTTGTGAGCAATGTGTAAGTCTTCAAAAAAATAGGAACAGCAAGGAAACGTATACTTACAATAAGAAAAAGACAATCGAAAATTCCTGGAACATATAACGAGGAAAGATTGTCTAGAGAATTTAGCACTCACAAGGGAAGGCAAAAGATACAGAAATAAACAGTGATTAACATACTTTTCTTTACTTTTTTAATCACTCTATTCAAATCAGTAAAACCAATAAAAGAGAAGGGGTTACAGTGAGAGGATGAATTAAGAACAGAAAGATGAAGCGGGAAGAGGAAAGAGTAACAGGATGGGGATTAGTAGATAGCAATTGACAGATTAAAGTTGTCTGGAAAGAATGAAGCCAGAAGAGAGTTCCACAAGTGAGAAGTGCGAGAAAAGAAACTGTTAGCATGGAACTAATATCCAGCAGCTCAACTGTAAATTGATGAGATCTCGACACCGGTCTAGTATGTGCTGAAATTAAAAAAGTCTAGGTACCATAGCAAAGACCTCATCTGAACAATTACCATGAAAGTATTTATAGAAAAGACACAGAGAGAAAACCTTACAGCGATGGTAAAATAACTGAATTGCTGCCATATCAAGACTAATAATATGGCGGATTCTTCTTTGAATTTTATCAAGGAGCTCAAGGTACATAGCAGGGACACCAGACTTTGTTTGGAAGTAAGATTCTAAGCATACTTAATAATTTTGTATGAATGAATAGCAGAACCGAGACAAGGAATTGCGATAATTCTACTTTATCAACCTGGGCTAGCCTTCATCTGATGGCATCTGTTTCCTGTATTTTAAGCTGGAAATCGCCTACTACTGCTTTGGAACAAGACTAAACTTCTGTTTTTCAACGCCATTTTGAATTCTCGAAGACTCTACCCAAGGTGTAACCTCAATTAAACTTATATAATATATATAATGATACATGTTTCATTAAATAATTGACAGACAAGTGTTGTCTATTTATTTTATGTAAATTCTTTTCATAACGTCTGATAAGCTTAATAACATTATCATTAAACGAAGAAAGAAAATCACAATATTGATCCATATTTTTTAATCCAACCTAAGCTTTCGGCTTACATAAGCCATTATCAAAGATGACAATTACATTACAATACATTAAGCAATACACGGACAAGACAGTGATGATAGTCTGTTTCTGTTTACATGGAAGATTTCCAAGCAACGACAAACTTGTGAATATTGTCGTTGTTAAAGGATGTTTAATACAAGATTGCCTAAACTGGAAATGCCCAACTTGTAAGGCAACTATGTAAACATTTATTGAAACCTAAAATTATATTGTGGCATTAACATGAAATCGACAGACTCAGTTCAAAATCTCCACTGAGGAAAGTTGTGTTCATTTTGACAATGGCTTTTGACAAGAGATGACAGAAAGTTAATTTTAAGTAAATTTCTAAGGTTCGAGCGTGACACTCTCTACGTATGAATGTTTTTTGCCAGGTGTCTAAATAGCGGTGTCAGGCTACTGACTGCAGTCATTATTGAATGACTATTGATTGGAACTATCCAGTCGAATTAGTGTGAATTATTGTATGTCGATGATTTGTGTTTTGATTTAGGATTTACTGGACGTTAAGCCGAGCCGCGATACTAACAGGTTATTCACTGAAATGGTTAATTATCTTTCGCTGAATTTTACTTCTTTGTTCTTGTTAAGTATTTATTTGCAGAATTAAATACTGTTTTATTTTAACATTGAAGTCTTGGTTTATACTTAATCATTAATGACCACCATATGTTACTAAAGTAATAAATACTAACACTAAAGAAACATGCTTGGTTAAGGATTCTCTTATTGTAATTGATTGATTCGTTTACGGTTTATCAACCCTTTATAGGCTGTTCAAAGCTAAAAAATATTTTTAGATTGTAATTATTTTTGAGATATTTAATATTTAACCCATAGCTGGAGAAGAAGAGTTAAATTCAAGAGGAATTGCAATATAATGAACCCAACCGGAATTGGAACGTGACTCTCCGATTAACCATTCCAAGTCATTATCCATTACGCCAAACGCTCAGCACGTGGTTTTCTCAAGCGACCACTTATCTAGGTACTGACCAGGCTCGACGTTGCTTAGCTTCGGTGATCATTCGGGAAGCGGTCTTTTCGACGGAATATGGTCGTAAGCCAATAAAGAAATTAGTAGAGTATTTAAAAACTCCGAGAAAATTAATCAAAATTGCGAGACCATAATATCATTTTAGTCCCGTAAAGGCGCAGGTGATTATCTCCCTTTGTTGTCAAAGGCCTTGAGTTTCAGGTGACGACAGCCTGGGGTGATGACAGTTAGCTGATGTTTAAACCGCGGGGGAGACAAATGCGCCAGCGGCGGTTAGCACAACGGGTGAAAGCTATGCGTCTTAAATGAGGAAAGATTAAGATATCAGTCGACGGAATTATGTTTCTCTTAGAAATATTACAAGTAAAATCTTCTTTATATTCGTCCGTTCACATCACGTAAGACGATTAGGGTCGTAGGGTGTACCATGTGTACTGCATCCGTAATAGCAGAGGTGTGTCTTGGTCAAGATAGACTGACGGAGAGCTACCCTCTCAAGGTAGGTAAAGTTGGTTCTCTGTGTCGCGTAAGAATGTTTTTCTCACCTGAGTTCATCCTTCAAATCTACAAATCAACCATTCGTACTTGCATTGAATACTACTGCCATATATGGTCTGATGTCCCCGCTGTTCATCTCGAGGATCTCGACAAAATACAAAGACGAATATGCAATGTGATAGGTCCTGATCTGGCATCTCGTCTACAATCACTTTCTCAAAGACCTGATGTGGCTTTCCTCTGTCTTTTCTACAAATATTTTCATGGCAACTGCTCTGACGAGCTACTTTCACTTTTTCCCAAACTGCATGAATTTAAGGTTGGCATCTCGGTCCTACCCTTCCTCTGTAGAAACTGTTAATCAATTTTATTTTAGGTCTGATGTAACTGATATAATAAAATAATTATCATCATCAGGTTGAAAATTCTTCTTCAATTCTCCTGACTCATTTCTTCCAACCATCTTTGTCGGACATCGCTGTCTACAGGTCCTCTAGATGGTATCCAGAGTCATCTACAAGTTGGTCAATGTAGTTGTCATGAGGTCTTCCAACCGTTCTTTTGCCGCGCGATGAGTTGCATAGGAGGGTTTCATTCATAATTTCTGAGTTACTTCTCCAGGAGTGACCAGTTAGCCGATGCCTTCCCTTCTCGGATTCTCTTGACTTGTTCCTTCCACCCAAATCTGTCGGACATCGCTGTCTACAGTTCCTCTTGATGGCATCCAGAGACATCTACAAGTTGGTCAATGTAATTGTCATGAGGTCATTGAACCGATCTTTTGTCGCGCAATTGGTTCCATAAGGGGGTTTCATTCACAAGTTCTGACTTACGTCTCCAGAAGTCACCAGCTAGCCGATGCCTTCTCTATCTTAGCGAAACTGAGAAAAGAAAAAGGTATCCATACAGGCGTTTTTTTTTTTTTTTGTGTGTGTGTGTGTTTTTTTTGGGGGGTGTTGCTTCCAGCTGATGTCCAATATAGTTTGAAACATCCTTGTGCCTGTTCCGTCAAGTGATGCTTCTTGGTGTTTCATCAGTTTCCATGTTGTTGAGCCGTAAACCAAGACAGATTCTACCGTGGCCATGTTGTTGAACCGTAGAGCAATAACATGGACACTAACAAAACACCAAGCAATTGTCTGCTGATAATAAGGATTGTGCAATGGATAAATAATTTTCTGATACCTGAACTAATTTGGATACTGTCCCAAAAATACGATAATGCTTTCTATGCAACCTAATAATTGACAGACTTTGTTAAATATATTAAGCATTTCATTTAGGTTTACGATTTGGAATATAAGTTGAAATATTCGAAATAGTTATTTTTATTTAATGAAACACGGTCAGTAATATTGGTGTTTTTTGGGGCCGCTAACGACCCCAAGATTTAATGGTTAAGAACAGCGATTGTTATTTTTTTATCTCCTTCTTCCTGTCTTTTCTACTATTAAGAACGCTCAGAGATTTATCTTCGCTGAACATTGTTATTTTAATCCGATCCTGATAGAGTTACACCTTTCTTTCTTTCTATTTACCTTTTTTATGACAAATAGCCAAATAAGTTCCTTCATCAACAAATTCTTTCATTTCCCACGCCACGCAAATTATTTCTGGTTCTTCTCATCTATGTGTCTTTCTGTCCGTTTCTATCTCTCTCCAAACACACACACACACACACACACACACACACACACATATATATATATATATATATATATATATATATATATATATATATATACACGGTGAGATAGATAGATAGAAATGAAGAGAGACTGACGTAGATAGATAGATAGATAGATAGATAGATAGATAGATAGATAGATAGATAGATAGATACATATGATCGTGCTAGTTATGAATATATACGTTTGTGTGTATATATATATATATATATATATAACAGAAACCTAAAGAGATAGATAGATAGATAGATAGATAGATAGATAGATAGATAGATAGATAGATAGATAGATATGAATTGATTCTTCAAAATATATATATACATATGATCGGGCTGAGATATGACTTGTAATAAATAGGACAGAAATCTAAAGAGATAGATAGATAGATAGATAGATAGATAGATAGATAGATAGATAGATAGATAGATAGATATGAATCGACTGATAGATACACACATACATACATTTTACCTGTATGTATATGGAAGAAGTTTACTGTCATCAGCTTTATCAGTATTTGTTATTTTTTATTCTTTTTTCTTCTCCCCCTTTTCCATTTTTCTTCTTCGTCTTTTTTTCTCTCTTTTAAATTCTCCTTTTCTATAGATCCTACATTTTCGAATTTTTATTCTTCACTTATCTCTTTCTTTTCCCTCTTTCTCCCAAAACCTTCTCTGTATTGTCCTCCTCTTTTTTTTTTCTTCTTTTTTTTTCACGCCTTTTATCTTCTTTCCTAAAGGATACATTCCACCTCTTCATATATCTTCCCTTTCTTTTCTTTTCCTATTTTCCATTTGCTTTCTCATTTTACTCGCTTTTGCTTTTCCACACGAACATCCATTCATTTTCAAACGGATGAACGAACTGCCCAACACGCCATATCACCTTTACAATTCTTCTGCGGGAGGCCATCTTTGTTTTCATCCGTCTCCTCTTCCTGCCCAGACATAAGTGTCGGTTGCAAAACGCAGTTTGCTTAACCTTGTTCCCTAAAATGATACCCCCTATTCTCTGATCTCCAGGCCGGATCATAATTGTTTTGTCAGCTGTTGGCCATCTCGTGGAATTTCTTTTTGATTAACGCCAGTGGACGTAAAAGGTATCGAATACACAGGACATACCCCCGCCCGCAACTAGACAACCAAAATATACATATGTGTGTCTTAACGTGATTATAAGTATTAAATGTAGAAGGGGGCAAAGAAGGATGAGGGAATCCCAGAGGAAATGGTCGCTTTGGCAAACAGTCTGGGACGATTCAGTTTGTTTCGTCCTGATAAACGAAAGGAACGTTGAAGAAAACAAACAAGTTACGGTCGAAACAGAGTCACAAATTACAGTCAAGTAATTGTAGATAGATAGATAGATAGATAGATAGATAGATAGATAGATAGATAGATAGATAGATAAAGAAAAGTGATAGATAATGAAGAGACTGAAATAGATAATAGATAGATAGATAGATAGATAGATAGATAGATAGATAGATAGATAGATAGATAGATAAAATGATGAGTTATTCATTTAATGTCGTGTGTCAAACACACATACACACGCGCGCGTATACACGCAAATATATATATATATATATATATATATAGCATTTGGAGTTACTGATACTTCCTCAAATATTACGAGCAAGAAAAATGAACTTTATGTTTCATGAGTCCTTAAAGCTTTTCTTCAATGACGACTGAGTGTCTGAAAAAAAAAACTGCATAGGAGAAAGAAAGTCTCTAATGTACATACATACACACATAAACACAGGCAGACATACACACACACACACACACACACATATATATATATATATATATATATATATATATATATATATATATATATATATATATATATATTAGATATTACATAGAAAAACATGTCAAAATCGCCAAACCCGCAGTTGTATTTTTGATGTGTCAACGCATCTCATGAGGCGATTGTAAAATTCTGACTGATTTATTTAGATTTAAAAAAAATACACATTCTTTTTACGAAAAAAAGAAATTAAATTTTTTAAATTAAATGTTACAAACGTTGGAATTGTATTCTATTCGTTCTCACCGTACCTGGATATATATATATATATATATATATATATATATATATATATATATATATATATATATATATATAATTTCCCTAATCTAATCGGTTTGTCAACATTCTTAACATAAACTGCTTTGCTAAATATTTTCTTGCTAGTCAACTGACATATTATATATATATATATAATATATATATATATATATATATATATATATAAATATAAGTGATCCCCGAGTTTTCTGAACTTTTATCCCTTCTCTGCCACACTTCTTTGCACGAATGGAAGATTCTTCTTGGAGGCCCGTCAGCTCCGTCGTCACGTTCCTCTTCATAATCGACGGAGCAAAATCAGGTGAATAGGGAGATAGTTGTTGTACCGCAAGCTTCTCCTCCTCCAGAAACTGCCGGATTCTTATATATATATATATATATATATATATATGTGTGTGTGTGTGTGTGTGTGTGTGTGTGTTAAATTAATGGATTTTTAATGTTTTTTTAATTAGTGGTAAAGAATATGTCGGATTAATAAAAACATTTTTCCCTGTATATATATATATATAGAGAGAGAGAGACTGTAATTTGTGATTCTGTTTAGTTCTTTAATGTATATTCGTGTTTGTGTAGACGCCTTGTTTATTTATTAACTAGTATATTGATTTAAATTCGTCTACCGTCCTTAGTGAAAACTGTTATTAAAGAAACATTGATTCTACCTGGTAGGATTCGAAGCTGGATCTCACTAGGCTGATGAAGTTACTGTTAGAGCCCGTACACTCAGACCAACTGATCGACAAAGAACAATTCGGTAACGCAAGGCCCGAATTGCACCTTTAAGCAAATCTCATCTCGTCAACGATCTCCCGATTTTTTTCATATCTTCACAGTTTCGTATCCAAACGTAAACAAAGCAAATGTTCTCAAGAAAGGAATGGATTTTATTAATTCGACAGATAATTTTTTTATCGTTTTTTATCACCATTATTGTAATGGATACTCGTGTCTCATTAGACAATCCGTTTATCTAGTAAACAGTATATATATATTTATCTACCGGCCTGAATGTTCGCGACATAATATGAAAGGAAAGTTAGAATAGTACCAGAGAATGTAAATGTACCTTTAATATCTCGAATCTTCAGACGTGTAAACGAAAATAAATATACTGTTTACTAAATAAATGGAACGTCTTTACAGATACGACTAGTCACTGAAAATAACGTTTAAAGTAATGATATATGTATATACTTTGACGATCCGTATAAGTGAAACCTACGAAGGTTTACCTTGTTCTTTAGGTACATATTTAGGTTTGTTCTACTTAGCGTATTGAGTACTTTACGCAGTTACTTTTGCTTTACTCGTTTTGGAGGTTTTTTTCTTTGGACTCTTAGCTTGGATTTTGGACGATTGTTTTCGCCTCAATTTCATGTTCTTAGTTCTTTCTTTTTTATCTCTTATTTTTCCTTGGGCATTGGTTTGTTCAATTACAAGCCAAATTTCCTAACGTTTTTCCAATCGAATATAACTATATATATATATATATATATATATATATATATATATATATATATATATATATAGAGAGAGAGAGAGAGAGAGAGAGAGAGAGAGATTTGAATAAAAACAGACCACTTTAAGGTTCCATGTAGTAAATTATTTCACCATTTTTCATTTCAACCTTTGGAAGTAAAGTCTGATGATCCAGAGCCCTTTAAAAGGGCTGTGGTGAAATAACTTATTACATGGAACCTTAAAGTGGTCTGTTTTTTATTCAAACATATTTGCTCTGAATTTACATTGGGCTCTCCGATATCATCCTCTTTGGGTCTACCCATACAGATTACCTAGTTTTGCATAAACTAAATATATATATATATATATATATATATATATATATATATATATATATATATATATATATAGTGTTTAAGCCTTTTATTATATCCTTACTCTGTCCTAGACATTGAGTTCTACCTGGATCCTTCCTCTTGGATAATTTTTTTTTTTCTGAAAATATACATGTATGGGATTTTTTATATATATTTTGCATATGTATGTATGTTTTCCACTAATATTATCTATATATATATATATATATATATATATATATATATATATATATATATACACACACATACATATATATATATATATATATATATATATATATATATATATATATATATATATAACTGAAATAGAATTTATAAGGAAGTAACTTGAAAAAAGTTGATTATTTTGATATATTTTTCAAGTGACTTTTGGGTAAATATTCATTGATTCAGAGTTTCCAATATTGGGTTGACCAAAAGACCTCTTCTCTGCTTCCAACTAGTTGCCATTAGGAACGTTTAGTCGTAGAAAATCCATTCTAAACTGTTATTTTTATTTATTTCCTAATAACTATCATATAAATGGTCATTTTTAAAATGTTCAAAATGATCTTGTATCTTTATTGATTTGAAGATTGACGATGGAAATAAATGCTATACTTGAGAAAACTCCTTGTAACGCCAGAGATGAACTGAACGCAAGGATTATGGAAGCATTCGCTAACTTAAACAAGGAGACCATCCAGAAGAGTTGCAGGAGATTCCAAAGTCGTCTAGAGAACTCATGGCACAGTGGATAAAGGCGTTGGTTAGATCCAGTAAGAGGACCCAAAGAGTGTGAGTTCAATACCTGGTTAAGGTGGTGGAGAACTTGGAGAGGGGAATTAATAGGAGATAACTGATAACTGACATCTATTAGACATGACACGTGGAACTAGAACAGTCTATCCCAGTGAGCGAAATAAATGATTCAGTTCGATATTCCAACCATCTGAAGAAGGCCGGAGCGTACAACGACCGAAACTTTGTAATAAATATGGCAACAAAGATGAGGAGAATAGTTCGAATAGTGTAAATAATAACTCCACTTCATGTCGATGGAAAATGTGAGTTCAAAAAGGGGCAAAGTGTTGTTCACCTGGAGTCTAGCATCAGCCTCGTCGATGGTAGGCAGGAAATGTTCTCTCTGGTGATTAAATGAATGCAATTTTGTTTTAGAGACGTTAAAATTTACAAGCCATTCCTTACTCCAGTTAACCATTATTTGGAGGATCTTTTCGAGAGCAGTTGCCAGTAGTTGTTTGTCGGAACTGTTAGACTTGTTACTAAGACAATTGTATAATAGTCCGAATAATGTACATAGAGTGCATTAACAAAATATGGATAGAAAGTTGATTGTTTAATTAAAATATATTGGAGAGAACAAGATTCGAGAAATTCTAAGAAGATACATGTCATCACTACATTGAATCAAGTAAGCAATCTTCTTTGCAGATTGCTTTTTAATTTCTGGCAAATGTTATATTCTTTGACATCTTTCTCTCTATCTTCGGTTTGTAGATCGTTTTGATGAGAAAATGTCAAATGCTTCAAGACTTCTCTTTAGTCCTTTGCAATATTTTGAACTGAATTGCTTAGTTTCTGATTCTTGTCTGTGAAAGTCCATATACAACCTACTCGAAATCATATCGTAACAGCTGGTAAGTAAACATCAGCGACACGTACCGTATAATCGCAAGCGATAGTTGATACATACCATAATTGAGTTCTTAAGCTGACGTTCATGAGGACAGACGTATACGGGTTTTGATATTTACTCTCTGATACAACGTAGGGCTAAACTGCTCAATGTTATGCAGTAATTGATATTTTCGAAAAACCAACAAACATTTTTTTTATCATTTTTTTCGCTGTTTTTTTTTTATGAAATGAATGTGGTGACATATTTTTATATTTGAAATTACAAACTGAAAAAGTCGCAAAGGAGTGTCTTTGATTTATTCTCATCTCTCATTAATCTGCGTTACATAATGAATATTAACTGTGGTTCCTACGTCAGTTATGTGCCATACGCGATACACGCTTAGGCGATCATGTATCTTACAATATATGACTGATGCGGCAGATCTTTTCCTGCAGTAGTTTGCCATTTCTTTCTGCAGTGGACCAGTTGCCATCCAAGGCTATAGAACCCGGTCTGTCCTGCTATTTACCAATAGCTGGAAGGAAAAGAAGAGGATTCATGCCTTTCCCAAGAATATTAGCACATAAGTGAATATAATGGATTCGAATGAAATTCGAACTCAGCTCCTTGATACCTCAATCCGAACCGCTATCCATTACTCCAACATTCCTCCTCAGTTATGTGCCATGCGTGATACACGCTTAGCCGATCTTTGTATCTTTCGATATATGACTGACGAGGCAAATTTATCCCCATCCAAGGCTATAGAACCTGGTCTGTCCTCCTATTTACCAATAGCTGGAGGGGGAGAGAAGAAGAGGATTCAGTGAAATAATGAGCGAAAACTTAAGAGTTTCAAATTTAAAAACGTTCCAGGAAGACTCCAGACGAATCAAAATTAACGAATGGAATAGCATAACTCCATAATGCAAGATGTAAAGATGTGTTTGAAATTT